TTCTTTGTGTATCTGCCCCTGGCCAAATCAATGAAACAGTGCGTGCACGCTCCCTGAAGTAATTCACACCAGACACAGGTTCCAGGTTGTTGAATAACTTGAGGAAAGTTTATTCAGAGGGGACGGCAGGTCCCTTTTAAAGCAAAATTACATCATAAGCATTATCAGAGATAACATGGAATAATACATCAATAATTGGTTAGGTGTTAAGTGGTCGCTCTAATGCTCTGCCTACTGAAGGTGATGTCACCGGGGCCATGAGGGTCTCCCACGGTTTCCCGGCGCCATCTTGCTGTACGAGGTAGTTAGTTGGTGTTATAGGGAGAGGGAGGGGAGGAGGGGTTAGAAGCTTCTAGCAGCCATTTTGATTAAAACATGTGTGCTTAGCTTATATATTGTGTATAGTGAAATGAGTAAATAGACATTTTCATTAACTTGGAAATATGTGCAGACCTTATTTCCACAACAGTCCCCCCTAAAATGGCTATTTACTATGACAACTTGCTACTGTCCCTAGTGTATCCCTAGCTGCCTGCAGCTCATCTGTCTTCACAAGCATCGAACTCTTCACTCCGTGGGTAACCCGCAGTAGCTAGTCCACCACATCTCCGCACGTGAGACTTGCCCATTAAGACAGACGCTTTCCCTACACTGTCCCTACAAAAAAGCAGTTGTCTGTTTGAACTGATGTGATTGAAGGGGTGTATGTGGGGTGTCATCTTCGAGGTCTGTGATGTCTTGATGTAGGAAAGTAGGGGTAACGTCATCTATAGTCTTATCTACTGCCTTCTGTAAGTACTTCTGTATGCAAGGGAGCACGCAACAGGTTAAGAATAAGAAGATGATAATCATTATAAGAACAGCTGTTCCTACCTGGAAGAGGGTCCTTTGCCAACCATTCATCCACCCAAACCATCTGTCCCAGGTGTCAGTGACTCCTGAATCCTTTTTTAGCTCATCAGAAAGACTATCTAGCTTCTCTATGGCCATAGTTACCTTACCATTGGGCCCAGTGTTGTCTGAAATGTATGTGCAGCATGTCATAGTCTCAGGGAGGATTTTACATACACCCCCTTTCTCAGCTAAAATCATATCTAGGGCCATTCTGTTCTGAAATGTCATTTGGGTAGTGGCTTGTAACTGTTCTGCCAGGCCCTGTAGGGCATCCCTTGTGTAGTTAACGAAGCGCTGCTGATTATAATAGATGTAATTAATCCAATTGACATTCTTATTAGCAGTTATCATTGGAATTAAGGATTCAAATCCTGCTGCCACTTCATCTCTTGCTTTAAATTCGTTAGGCACCCCCCTTGGCACACCTATGGCATCAATATACACATGGGGGTCGAAGCTCCCTCGGATGGGAGCCTCTCGTTTGGTCCTAGAGTGTACATGTGTAAGGTTTAATGTGTTATGACTACCATCTGGAATAATGTGGATAGGCATTATAACTTTGGTTAGGGCACACTCCCCCCACCATTGCTCAGCTAGTTGGGACCTCAATTGTTTGTCACCACATAACCAATAGATATCACCGATTGTCTTTGTGTGGTTCATTAGCAGTGATACAGGTGGACCATGGTAAGTTGAGCAGTATCCTGATGGGAATTTGCCCAGATACAAACCAGTGTTTTTAGGTATTGAATAGCATGTGTAATTACCTGGGTAGACGGTGACTCCATCAGGTGGCTTTACATGTCCATGAGTGATTGGGTAAACTCTCTTCCATGATTCACATGTTGAGGAGTTTGTAGTGGACTGTGCATAAAGGCTTAAAAAACATAATTCTACTTCAGGAGGTAAGCTCAGAGGTACTGTGCCCAGATGGGGCCTGGCTCCTCCACATACGTAGCAGTTAGTCCTATTATGTGAGTTGGCATTATACCTCATCCATTCTAGCCACAAATTAGTGTCTGAAAACCCAGTCTCCACTGCCATGGTGTCTTCGAAGGTGGGGTTGGCTATAGCCACCATGTCATGTAGGGTCTTAATATGTGGTTTTAATGGGTTAATGACCATGTGTGTGGTCCCTACCCAGTCTGGGGAGGTGAGCATGTCTTGTAGGTAAAATGTCCCCAGTGCATTATGTGAGCCACCTCCCTTCCAGTACATCCCCATCACATATTCTCCTGCATCCCTTGGGCTGGGGTGTTCTATATTCAGGGTAAGCTTAATGGGAGTTGACCCTATGGGTTTACTCAGGTTCATTCTAGAGAGTAGGGGTTTCCCGTCCTTGTCAAGTCTGTCCAATGCAATTTGGGGTCTGTAGCCCCACGGTCTACCCGTGTTCCACCCGGCAGCTTTCCATGAACTACAATGGTGTCCCCAAACTCCTCCAGTCACACAAATGT